GTAATGGGAAGCGTGGTTGCCTGAGAGGATTCTACGACAGCATAGAGGACCCAGACTGCTGTTTCACGTGCCGGTAAAGTGTATAAAGAAGGAAGGTTTAATGATTAAAGGAGATTAAGTATTAAAGGAAGTTAATGTGTAACCAGAGATTTATATGTACAAAAAGATGTTATATACAGATGTACAAATTTCACCTTTCTTTATCAGAAGAAAACTGTTTCATACCTAAATAACAAAGAAATAATTGTCTTGGCATGTTATTCATATACAGACAATGCTGGTATTTTTACCATAAGCTTTTTGTTATCAAGTAAATCCATAATTTATTAATTTGGTAACAATATGGTTCATTAGTTAACATGAACTAATAACGAACTGCACTTATACAGCATTTATTAATCTTAATGTTAATCTCAACATTTACTAATACATTATTAATCTTGTTAACATTAATGCTCTGTGAACTAACATCAATAAACTACAGTATTTTCATTAACGTTAACGAAGATTAGTAAATACAGTATCAAATGTATTGCTCCGGGTTAGTTCATGCTAGTTAATACAATAATGTTTAATGAACCTTATTGTAAAGTGTTACCATTAATTTTAATGACATCTTAAGACTTGACACTCTTGGTTAATCTCAACATTTACTAATACATTATTAATCGTGTTAACATGAACTAACATCAATAAACTACAGTATTTTCATTAACGTTAACGAAGATTAGTAAATACAGTATCAAATGTATTGCTCTGGGTTAGTTCATGCTAGTTAATACAATAATGTTTAATGAACCTTGTTGTAAAGTGTTACCATTAATTTTAATGACATCTTAAGACTTGACACTCTTGCTGAGAATATTCAACTTTTATTTAAATGTTAATAATTAATACATGTAACAGTGAAGCATATACTGAAATTAAAATAAAAAACGACAATAAATAACTTAAGTTCTAAATGACAAATACACATGAATAGAAATAACTTAAAACTTAAAGTGTAAATAAACTATATTCGTTGACTGCGATTGCAATATGACAAGTCAAAAGCAGTAATTGGATTCTTGCTTGGAAATGTACATAATGAAACGTTTTCCAAAAATTAACAAATTTGCAATGTATTGTTTAATACTATATATTTTTACCAGGTATAAGTAACTAACGGGTTCAGTTTTGTTTTATATAATTATGTATTACTACCATGTATTGTTTCAGCCACATTTCCGGTATACCGCGGCGTCGACGTCGTTACTTTGCCACTAACCAATGAGAACAGTTGTGGGCGGGGCGACACGTCTAGCCCCGCCCCACGTGCAGCCCCGCCTTGATCTGCAGGCTGCAGCCGGGTGTACTTGGCTTCAACTGTACCCAGTGTTGCAAAGTCCGCGGTTTTCCCGCGGAATTGGGCCACTTTAACACTGTTGCCGCGGGTTGTTTTTCATATCCGCGGGTTTGAAGCGACTCCAATAACATGATATTTATCCCCTGGAATGCGAATTTTAGCAGGGGGACCCCGCCAAAAAAAATTGTATTTTACCCCCTCGGAACGGGATTGGGCTAGTTTTGAGTAGCGATTGGGCAACCCTGACTGCACCGCCCAGCTCTGCTGAACCTGTTTGTTCACAGGCAGGTTTTACACAAAAACCCTTCATCTTGAGAAATTACTCCTATTGCTATTTTTCCTCTCCCTGCATTCTGCCTACAGTTTGGGACATGTTCTGTAAAACAAAACAATTTCTCACACTTTTGCTGAATAAGGTTAGTTGGGACAGTAATAAAACTTGATGTTTTTTTTTAATATAACCAAGAAACTTTTTTTGCAAAAAAAAAACTGAATTATATTGTTATAAAATTATATTGTACGTTGAAATATATGTATTTAAATGAAGTACTGGAGTCAACCCTGGAAATATTTGTCAAATACAAATTACATTTTTGTTCTTTTTTGTCGACACTGACTGCTTACAAGAATGCCTGTTTTGTGTAGCTGAATGCTATTGTGCCACACTGAGCTTTTTAGATTTCAAGGTAAAAGTTTACTAAGAAAATTCTATACTGTAGTACACAAAAAAGACGCACATTTGTACAATACATTTACACTTACATTTAATAATTTGGCAGATGCTTTTATCCAAAGCGACTTACAAATGAGAAGAAGAATAGCAGTCAAATCAACAATAGGGCAACAATATGCAAGTGCAGCACAGTAGGCTACACATAGCAAGGATTTTTTTATTTTTTTAATAATAGATATAGAATAGTAAGTGTTAGTTTTACTGAAAAAGATGCGGCTTTAGCTGTTTCTTGAAAATGGCTAAAGACTCAGCAGCTCAGGTTAAAATAGGCACATCATTACACCAGCTTTGAACAGTCAAGGTAAAGGTCAGCAAAAATTATTTTGTGTTCACTTGCCGGCCTTGCCATTGGCCAAAACATTAACGTCTGTACACGAAATAACGTGTTTAGACCAGTCTATGGTTTAGACGCAATTACGCGTTATATCGTCTGTACATGTAACGTCTAAAGAAATATTTGTCTTTATGGCCTTCCATAATGTAATTTCCCGACAAGGCGCCGAGTGGTGCCAATCACAGCACACACTGGCCCAGCGAACTAATCACAACACACACTGGCCCAACTAACCAATCACAGCACATTTCGTATTTCAGAAGGCGGGCCTTCATTTGATACAGGAACTATTTGAGCCGTTCATGCCAGACTGGGGAAAGAGGTGTTATAATAATGTACAATATGTGAAAAATAATAAGTTTTTCAAACAACCAATGTTCCAATGAGTATGAGAGCTTGTTCTAACACACCCCCACAATATGCAAGTGCAGCACAGTAGGCTACACATAGCAAGGATTTTTTTAATAATAGATATAGAATAGTAAGTGTTAGTTTTACTGAAAAAGATGCGGCTTTAGCTGTTTCTTGAAAATGGCTAAAGACTCAGCAGCTCAGGTTAAAATAGGCACATCATTACACCAGCTTTGAACAGTCAAGGTAAAGGTCAGCAAAAATGATTTTGTGTTCACTTGCAGATGCAAGCTTCTGGAGGACAAATATGTTGGTCTGAAGTGGTGAGTTTAGGTATAGTGGTGCAGAGCCAGTGGTTTTTCTGTAGGCAAGCATCAGTGCCTTGAATTTGATGCAAGAGGCTATTGTCAACCACTGCAAGTGTATGATGAGAGGTGTGACATGCATCTCTTCGGCTCATTAAAGACCACTATTGCTGAAGCATTCTGGATCAGCATTACAATAGTCCAGTCTGGATAGAACAAGAGCTTGGACAAGGAGTTGTGTAGCTGCTCTGATAGGAGGGGCCTGATCCTCCTAATTTTATACAAGGCAAATCTGCAGAACCGGGCAGTTCAAGCAATGTGGTCTGTAAGTTTAACTGATCGTCAATCACAAGTCCAAGGTTCCTGGCTGTCCTGCATGGAGTCATGGTTGATGAGCCCAGATGAATAGAGAAGTTGTGATGAAGTGTTGGTTTAGCTGGGACCACAAGCAGTTCTGTCATTGCAAGGTTGAGTTGAGAAATGCCTGTCAGGCAGGCCGTGATGCGAGCAGCTATACCGTCAGATTCTCTGAGAGGCAAGACATTTGTTTTAATCAGTTACATGCAAACACAAAATTAACATTTATGTCCATTTTACATGTAATGTCATATAGTGAACAGAAAATTGCAACAATATATAATCCATTCAAATTAATTAATTAAATAGGCCTAAATACATAAATGAAAAGAAACACCAACAATGTCCTAACCATGTCTATCAAGACTTCCCCTATTATTACCACAACCACTTAGGGCTTTTTCCTCTTTTTACAAGCATGGTTGATTGGTAAGTTTGTGATTCCTATTTTATTGTTATGGCAGGTTCATTCAGACATGCACACACTCGCTCACACACACACACACACACACACATACGCACACAACTGTTGGTGCACACTACATCTGTCTAGAAAGAAATATTAATAACTAAAAACCTAAATCTCTACGGCTCTGCACGTACTATGGTATGTACGATGACACGTCACATTTATATGCATTATTCATTAATGACATGTCCTTAGGTAGATAGTTACGTCACTATTATATGTTTAATACATTTTATGCAAATGTTCAAGTCTTCGGCCTTGCCATTGGCCAAAACATTAACGTCTGTACACGAAATAACGTGTTTAGACCAGTCTATGGTTTAGACGCAATTACGCGTTATATCGTCTGTACATGTAACGTCTAAAGAAATATTTGTCTTTATGGCCTTCCATAATGTAATTCCCCGACAAGGCGCCGAGTGGTGCCAATCACAGCACGTATATATATATATATATATATATATTTTTTTTTTTTTTATTATTATTTATTTATATTAAATTATATATTAAAATTATTTTGTTGCTCTGGGACCCCAAACAGCCCGAGCGTCCACCCCAAACGAACAGCGCATAAGGGATAGACAAGCATGTGCAGGGCATTTTTATTTATTTATTTTTTTAATCTTTTTGTGGTTCGAACAATAAAGAAGGGCATATGGCATTAGACCACATGGTGAGTAAATGATGACTATTTTAATTTCTGGGTGAACTATCCCTTTAAGTCCACTCATACGGGTGTGACTCTAGCCGACAACTGTCTAGTGAACTAATGTAGCTTTCAAAGAATCAAAAAAAGAGATTAAGTTCTTAACTATATACTGTATTTACCATATGCAAGTACATATACAATACAATAGCAAAAGAGGAGATTGCAATCATTAAACAAAATGCATTAAATTACCTGGACCAGTGCAAGAGAAAGCAAGAACTTCAAACATGGAAGACTGGAAACATTAAAGCTTAGTTAGTCCGGGCTGGTGGAGGAGGAGAGACTCCATACACATCTCTTACATCAGTCAAAGCTTGATTTTCTCATGTTCAATGTATCAAACAATGAAACTCTTACATCGATGTTTCTTCACATAACTGAGAAAATATATGTGCTTTTACAGAGACATATAACTGACGTTATGAGATTAAAATAATAAATGATTCAGTGTAAATATAATGTAAAAAATATATATACACATGTACAATTTCATTATGTATAAACATAAAAAATTACATTGATGGTAATGATTTGAATATGTATACGCAACCCACAATGATTTAACTTCCATTTTAGACTTTCACTTTTGTTTTATAGCATTTGATATATTTGAGATATCGATTTTGATCTATTACTGAAGATATTCAGTGCTTTATTCCTGCTAATTCACCTCATCTGAGCTCTTCTCCTTTCTCTAGTTCACCTGTAAACAAAACAAAATGATCATTTGTATGAACACTAAACCAACATTCATCATTCAGTATCATATGTTTCTATCAATGCTGCATTGTTTAGTTTGTTTCAGCTGTATGCATTAGTAATTATTTTAAACAGTAACACATGAGAGTTAGTATAATAAACTTCACATTGTTAAAACAATGCAATTTGAAACTGTTTCCATTTACTCTCAAATAAATACATGCATGTATAAACACACTGAATTCATAATAGCTGTTGGATTTTAAGTGTTTTCATTTATGAATTACAGTTTAGAGACATCTCACCAAAAAGACATTGATCATGTGATGCTGGACGGCTGTGAGCCGAAGCTGGAATCTGCACCGATTTTTGTTTTTCCCTACAATCAATCTACATCTATTTAACAGGTTTGCTCTAACCCAAGCCTGTTGTTTCAATAAAGCTAAATGATTTTAGAAGGTAGAAGTGGATAGAAGACTTCCACATATCAGTGGTAAATGAAGATCTCTTTTATATCGCAAGGGTCATTTACTCACCTCAAGTTTACAGTTTGAGTCTCGTAGCATGTCTCTGAGCTGCTGCTTTGAGTCTCCTATGTTATTGTTACTCAGATCAAGCTCTTTTAAAAACTGCAGTGCTTTCGTTTCAGCCAAAGACCGAGCCAAACAAGCAACATCTGTAATGCCACAGTCATTTAGACTAGAAAGAAGCAAACAGACAATGAGTGATATTACTATCACAAGATCGCAAAACAAATTTTTATAATGAATTATTTCACCCACATACACTGTGAACTTAGGCTCTTCACAAGAGATTGATTATGAAGTGTTTTGGTTTAAACTGAAGTGAGTTTAAATTTCAGTTCTTGTATGTGAATGTTACCGACCTCAATCTCTCCAGTTTACAGTGTGAATACTTCAATATTTCACATAAGTGATTCACTCCTGTGTTTTTTATTTGATTTCTACTGAGGTCCAGTTCTCTCAGGTGTGATGGGTTTGATTTCAGAGCTGAAGTCAGGATGAGACACTGTTTCTCTGTAATACTGCATCCACGCAGACTGAAGACAGAAAGAGAAAAGACAGTGAATCAGATCTATGATAAACTAAATATAAGGATTTGTGTGTGTGCCACTTCAAGAGGCCAAACGCACGTGTTGCACTTCATTTATGCTTGTTCCTTATCTCTTTCAAATTATTTTTTTCTCAATATATTTACCCATTTCAGTTAATAACTTCTATTACTGTTTAATCTTCACTAATAAGTTAAAGATATAAAGGATTCTCTCCGTCTATACGTTTATTGTCACAACACAATCTGTAACGCGTGGTTGTGCTAATGAAGTGCATGACAAGGATTCCAAAAAAAAAAAATTTTTTAATAAAGACAAATCCATAGGGAACAAACAGTTGATTATAGGAGAAGTAGCACAAACACTAAGCATAAACAGGATCAGATAAAAAAAGAACTAAGGAAAACTCAGGGCTTAAACAGAGAGGTGATGAAAAAGAAAGTGTGTGAAGAACTAATTAACAACCAAGGAAACTAACTAGCAGGAACACAGGCAAACAGGAACAAGAAAACCAAAAGGCAAAGAAACTAAATGGAGACTGTGACACAATATGTTGGTAAGCAGTAATTTTGCAGTGCTTTTGCTTTAGTGCTTTCGTATAGTAATTTTAAAATGTTTGTGGATCAGATGAGGAAAATTGAGAAAGACACAACTAAGATTTTTCAATAAACTTCTGCTCACTTTCACCATAATTTCGTCTCCTGAAGCTCAGAATTCAGCATCACAAGTAAAAGTATCTGTCAGAATAAACTACTGCAATTTTACAATCTGTTTTCTCCCTCTACAATAACTGAAGTAATTACTGGCTTAATAACTGAAATAATTATTGTCTTGCTAAGTCAGCTGTGTAAAGCTTGATGAAACTCATTTTCCACAGAACTCTGGGTAGAAGCTTGTTTAATTTCAATACATCACTTTATTGTGGCTTTGTGTGTGGCACACACACACACACACACACACACACACACACACACACACACACACACACACACACACACACACACAAAAACGTTAATTCAAAACTAAAAGGAAATGGTATTATTAACTACAGTAACATCACTATTAAAATTGATGTAACAGTTTAAATAATGTAAAATACTCACGTCAGTGTGTTGAGTTTACAGTGTTTATCCTGCAGTAGAGCAGAGATCTGATTCACTCGTGTGTCTCCTAGTTCATGTTCACTCAGATTCAGTTCTCTCAGGAGTAACGGGTTTTTACCCACAATTCCTTTCACATACTGACAGGCTTCTTCTGCAGCAAGACTCAAAAACCTGCAGAGGAGAAGATGACGCAGGATTCAATTCAGTTTTCTACTGAACGTGGTATAATGAAAAACAGCACTGAATTGTTCTGTGAGTGTGAAATGGTCTATACTGAATTTACTTTAATTATTTTTTTACTGAAATATTATTTCTCTCACCTCAGTGTCTTCAGTTGACAGTTTGGATCCTGTAGTAAATCATTGAGCTGCTTCACTCCTGATTGTCCAGGATCATTTCCTGTGAGATCCAGCTCTATCAGGTGTGAAGGGTTTGATCTCAGAGCTGAAGCCACAGCTTTATAACCTTCTTCAGTGATACTGCAGTCTGAAAGTCTAGAGAAAATAAAAACAACAATTAAAATGAACATTGTGGTTCAAATTATTTCATTACTGCACAAAGACAAAATATGACAATCTCACTAGAACTTGACCAACCATTACCTGATGAACAATGACTCAAAATAATTCAAAATGATCAAAAGTGTAATACTTTTAATTAGCACTGAACCAACTTTTATTTTAGACACGATACAGCATGCTCTGTCAACAAACAGTTCCAAAGCAAAGTAACAGTAGAAATGTTGACAAATGTCCAAACACTGCATAGGGTTATGTTCTTGAGTGAAATTGATTCAATGAAAGAATTTAACATAAAAAATTCTAAAATGTTTTTACTAATGTTAGAAAATTTGCCACTATAAAGGTAAAAATATCCCTGGGAAAAAAGCATTGCCTCTTATTGGAAAAGTTAATCCAACACTGCTAGTAGGCACTAACCGAAACATACTCTTTATCTCTGGCTCAGTTGTTCAAGGTGTTTTTTAATGTTTTTGATATCTACTCTCAATTGGATGACCACTTCATGTTTTATATAGTATTACAATTAAAATACAATCTCTGAAAATGAGAATAAATTCTCAGCCACTGTAAACGGACCATACATACCTCAGTTTCTCTAATCTGCATTGTGGATTTTTCAACAAACGACAGATCATCTTCATTCCTGAGTTTTCTAGTTTATTTCCACTCAGATCCAGCTCTATCAGGTTTGAAGGATTTGAATTAAATGCTGAAGTCAGAGCAGCACAACCTTTTTCTGTAATACTGTTATTATTCAGCCTGCAGAGAAAGAAAACAATGATAAGAAACATTCCTCAGTTTATATAGAAAGCTTCTTTAATGAACAACAATGACAATGTCTTAATCCAATCCAAATACTGAAAATATAAAATATTTGGGCCTGTGTACATTTTAACAGTTTGTTTATTAATATGAAATAAAATAATAAGTAGAGTAGTAATAAGTAATAAGTAGAAATGAGAAAACCACGCCTTTATATGCATTTCCAAAAAATTATTGGTAAACCAAAGATCAACTGGTGCCGTCATAAGTTCTTTAAATCAGTGCAACAGAATAAAAGATCTGTCACTGCTATAGGCTAGTTGTACAGATTCTAAAATGTTTCTTTGCACATTCATATTTCATGATGCTATACCGAATAACACTATTTTGCATCAGTGTAAATTTACCATCACAGCACATTTTTGCTAATTTTTCTAACTTGCAGGGATACAATTTTTCCACATTTATATGGATTTCTGTTTTTTTCCAATGTGCTGAGAATTGATTCTCATTTTCAAAGACTGATGATTTTCATTTTATTTTATTTTACTGTGTATCTAAGAAGCAGGGCTAAGGTACTATAACTTATATTCCTCTAACACACATACCCATTAAACAGAAAAGAGCCACGTTAGGCTCTGACCTGAGCAGTAGTCTATGGTTTGTTTCAAAGAATTCCTAGGTTCAGTTATTTAATGAGAGAGGTATTATAAGTACATAGTTGCAATAAACCCTTAAAAATCCATTCATGCAGCAGAAGACTATTATACTATTACACACAGTTGAAGAAGAACTGATGAAGGCACGGGCTGATCTTTGGTTGGCCAATCAGTGGAAAGGGGCTTTTCATGCTCGCCCCCACTTGTGGAAACTAAATATTCAAACCTCATTTTAACCATTGAACCCTATGACAAAAATTAAGGCAAATTCTTGTTTTCCTTCAAAAAATTAAAAAAACAAAGAAGAAAAATGAATTAAAAGTGCAGTTTTTTTATGTTTCAGCTTATTTCATTTAAAATTTTAAAACTAAGTAGCAAAATTTACATGGACCAACACGCAACATGTAAAAACGTGAAATACTCACATCAGTGTGTTGAGTGTACAGTGTTTATCCTGCAGTAGAGCAGAGATCTGATTCACTCGTGTGTCTCCTAGTTCATGTTCACTCAGATTCAGCTCTCTCAGGAGTAATGGGTTTTTACCCACAATTCCTTTCACATACTGACAGGCTTCATCTGCAGCAGGACCCAAAAACCTGCAGAAGAGAAGATGAAACAGGATTAAATTCAGTCATCAATTCTAATGAGAAAAGTGTGAAAATTAAACTTTGATGCAGCAAATTGTAATAATCTACAGCGAGCGTGCTCTCAATATATATTGAGAGAGTCCATACCCCAACAATAACAATACTGGTGAGAAAATATATTGTTAGAATCTCGTTTTCAATGATATTATCCAACTGTTAAACGATAAAAACATTGACAATCAAATTATACTCAGCTATAAAAAGCTCAAGCATTTAAAGGGGTCATATGATGCTATTTTAAAGATCATTATGTTGTGTATTTGGTGTAACAGAATATGTTGATATGCTTTAATGTTCAAAAAACACATTATTTTTCAAATACTGTACATTATTGTAGGTCCTCTATGCCCCGCCTCTCTCAAACACGTTATCAACAAAGCCCCTCCTTCCGACAAGCACAGTCTGCTCTGATTGGCCAGCTGACCCAGTGCATTGTGATTGGCCGAACACCACAAGCACGCGTCGGAAATGTAACGTCCCTTACCATAATCGCGAGCTTCAGCTTTCAAAGTAAATATCAAGACAGTTAATAATGTTGTTAGTTTTACCATCAGTTCAAGCCCGAAAGGGCAACAGAGTCGCGTGACAGACACAGTGATGATGCAGTACACAAGCCGCGGTTAAGACAGCTGACGTGCTATGATTTCTGACAGGCAGTTCACTCTCCTGTGATGTGACCCTGTTCCCCTCACACACACACACACACACAACTCGTTACTCTGCACTGCGCAAAACTTCCGCATTTGAACAGTCGATAGCAAATACTTAAACTAGTAATAAAACATACTTACAGTCGCTGATGCAGAAGCGTCAGATTATCATAGCAAAGTCGGAATTGACCCTTTTTTTTTTTGTTTTGTTTTTTAAATAGCCTTTGTGCACAGCCAGCCGTGTACTCTTCTAGGTTCAAAAAACTATGTCGTCCATAAAATGCGTTGCACAAATTCTGGGTTGTGCTGTTCTGTTGTAAATAAATCTTAACCAATGAATGATTCCTAATTGCATCTACAGTGGGGCGCAGAAGCGTCAGATTATCATAGCAAAGTCGGAATTGACCCTTTTTTTTTTGTTTTGTTTTTTAAATAGCCTTTGTGCACAGCCAGCCGTGTACTCTTCTAGGTTCAAAAAACTATGTCGTCCATAAAATGCGTTGCACAAATTCTGGGTTGTGCTGTTCTGTTGTAAATAAATCTTAACCAATGATTCCTAATTGCATCTACTTTTGGAAGGCCAAATAAAGTGCTTTTGCTTTCGCAGCTTTCGCACTGAAACACACAGTGTCTCCCTGACATGGCTGCTTCAACACTATTGCTGTTCCTGAAACCATGCCTTCTTTCTTTGCGTGCACATTTGGGCGGCATTATGCTAATATTTCCACATAGTGATGTAGATATGTGGGGGCGTGTTAGAACGAGGCATTTATGACGCATCATATGACCCCTTTAAAGCGGCAGCTGAATTGTGTGCTTAGTAAAAACATATTGTTATTGTCCATTGCTTTGGATGCTAATATAGTTATTGTTACAGTTGTAATTCTTGGTGTGAACGTGCCTTTATAGTCCCATAACAGCATCTGCCCTGTAACATTTTTTATAAATAATTCTCCAACATATCATTTAACTGACCTCAATGTCTTCAGTTGACAGTTTGGATCCTGTAGTAAATGACTGAGCTCCTTCACTCCTGATTGTCCAGGATCATTTCCTGTGAGATCCAGCTCTATCAGGTGTGAAGGGTTTGATCTCAGAGCTGAAGCCAGAGCTTTATAACCTTCTTCAGTGATACTGCAGTCTGAAAGTCTAGAACAGGAATGAAAACGTAACCTTCCAATGATTAAACAGTTATTCTAGAAATGTTCCAAAAAACTAAGTGAATTACATGTTGTTCCTTGTACAAATGAATTTAAAGTTAGTTGCAAAGCAAAAACTGACTGAATATGGAGGCAAACAAAAGGTCAAGGTCAAGCTTCTGCTCTTCTCTGGCTTTACTCAGTCAACTCTTGGCTGATAGAAGACTGTTAATGGGAAATTCCAGTATTACGGACGTTACAGTCTCAATCAAAACCTGAAATATAAATTCTCACAGAATATATTGAACCATCTCTTTGTATTTTTTTAAACCCCTAAAAATTGAGTACAGACATCAGTAAAGTATCCGTCTATAAACATGTTTTATATTTTAGATTTGAGAAATAGAGATGCATTTCGGACATGACAAAAAAGACCAGAGTTTATGGGAGACAACATATTTTGTAGACCATCTGTGATTTACAATACACAAACCAGATGCAAGAATATCTGGTGAATGGAGAAGAGTTGGCTATTCACAAAACTTAAAATATAAATTTTATTTAAATTTTCATTTTTGTGTTTCAGAGGAAAAATTAATGTTACGGATGTGACAGTTCTGAAAGCAGAATTGATCTGACTATGGAAATGCGTAAATGCTTAAAAAAATTAACAGAGACGTCTAGAGGGTACTTAATAGGGCTGCCCCCCACTAACTGATTTTCCTAGTTACTAGTAGTCATTCATTTAAGCCATTATTTAACTAATCAAACTTTTATATTAAATTAATATAAAACTAATCCATAATGAGCCTTAATATATTCCGCACTGAAGCACATGCATAAGCATTTTAAGTTGTTTCATTATCAGTAAAAAATGCAAGTGATTGCGCTGACGCTTCCCTGTCATGCATATGCATTAATACTTTTGCACAAAAACACTTGAATATGAATAATTGAGCACATTTATATTAGGTTAATGCTAGAGTGTGGGATCTGCATTAAAATAAATCTTCACCAGTCTACATCTGAGACAGATGCAGTTATAACCTGTAAAATTGAAGGCTATTTGATGTTTTAAAATGATCTAATGGGCCGATGCTGCTCCAATTCATTGATCAAGATTAAACAGATGTCGCAGTCATAAAATTGTTTTAATAACTCTCATAAACTTGTTTTAATGACTCTCTTATGCATTAAATACAAAACAGGTTAAGTTAAATATGCTAAAAATAAAATACACATATGAACATAAAAAAATATAATGTACAAATATTTATAAAATGCTATAGACTGCGAATAAGATTGCAGTTTCACATTTTGCATCTGCTTAACAAAGTGAATTATTTTAAACATGCAGTGATACAAAATATAACCAAACAACATTTGTAATGAAGAAAAATATTTAGACAAAAATAAGACTGATGTAACCCCACACACTGAAAAAAAGGAAAATCAGTTTTACTGAATTTACTAAAACAATAGACTTACAGTCTACTTAATACATTTATGTTTGAGATGCAAACTATTTTATTGTGTAAAGTCTAAATGAAATTCAACAGTCATCAAAACATGATATAATCACTTTGCAAGAAAATGTTCAAATTGATTCAGATTTCCAACAAATACCCTCCACTGATCAGAGAAGTTATTTATGCTAAGTTTTTAAAAGCACAATGTTTAGACATGTCATTTAAATGACACATTGTTCAAATGATTAAATAAAGGCTTTACAGAAGGTTTTTGTGCATCGCACTCAGCAGCATGTGTGCTAAACACACAAAATCTTGCTCTCTGCATGCATGCAGTGCAGATAGCGACAAGTTATTTGAAACACATGTAAATGGTTTAAATAAGATTATATTGACAATGAACATTATATGCCATTTAAACTAGTTTTGGCTATTTGTCCTACAGTCCGCCTTTTTTAATATTTCTGACCCACACAGCAAATGCATTCTTAGACTAAATCTCTGTGATGCTGTCTTTGAGAATGCAATTTCCAAAGTGCTATTAGAATAAATTAATTTCTAAAATGTTATGATACAGCCTGAAACAGACCACAGCAGGCTATCACTCTTCAGCAACGTGGTAAATATGCATGCCGGGATGCATAAGATTGAATATGAAGCGCCCATAACAGTTGCATCCATAATGCATTATTGTGGTTGAAAAGAGCAAAGAATGGAGACGAGTTGTTGATCATAATTAGAATGGCCATAAGTTGGCTTTGTCCAGAAAGTTTCAAGTTAATTGCATTAATAATTAATATATGATATAAACTTAATGTTTTGTTTGTTTATTTTCTTCTTAACGCCATTCCAGCATCTATGGCTATATTCATGGCAAGAATCAGTTAATCTATACACAAGTCTGTCTTATACACAAGCTGAGGGGACCATTTAGAATCTTTAGTTAACCTAACCTACATGTCCTTGGGCTGTGGGAGGAAACTGGAGCACCTGGCGTAAACCCATGCAGAAAATTCGAACCGGAGACCTTCTTGCTGTGAGACAACAGTGCTAGCCACTGTGCCGCCCTATAAACTTAATGTTTAAAACGTTATGGACATGACACAGCGCTAAAGCATCCTGACGTCCTAAATCTAGCCCTTATAAATCCAAAAATCATTGCTGTTTAGACAAAGTGAGTTTATTTACTTTTTGACATTTGCATGGAATTGCCCTAATATAGTTTTGGGTACCACATAAGACTTACATATCGACAACCCTGCTGATGAGTTGTTCGGATACCAGAAAAAACTGATATTTTCTGACAGGATTCAGCATCCGGGACTGGATCTTAATTATCTGGCATGGAGACTCAATCTAATAGAAGTAAACATTTATATCCGTATGTTTTTCTCCAGTGTACAGCATTTTTCTTTTTTTTCTTTCAGTGGATGCATAAAACTTGCCAACAAAAATGAATAAATACAGAGTTCTGGCATGAAACTCTAGATGGCACAGTCCGATAGGTCTAACTCAATCTGTCCTAATGACATCATTATCACATGGCATAGCTGTCATGCATTGGCAGCATTGGTTTGCATTAGCATTAGCATTGGTTTTCTCCTGTATCAGTAGCCAATGAGCTCACTGCTCAATATTCAAATACCTGGCTTTTGTTTGCTGTAGCAGTTTGCAGCGCGCTTCAGAACAACTGATATCAACATTTAAGATGAATTCATGAAGTGAATTCTCTTTTAATCCATATCGCTGTGTATATTTGCATGGTCTGCCTAATTGAATACAAAAACAAGCAACCATAAACAAGTTTAAAAGTGTCATGTTATCAGTTTGCATTGTATGCATCAGCAAAAAATTAAGCATATTAGCAGCAGCATTTAGCATCTGTGTTTATACAGCTGGAGCAAAACGCAGTTTAGAGCATATGTCATCGTCCTGAGGACACGACGATAGTAACCGACATGAAACAGGTTAAACTAAATAAGCATTCTTGTGTATGCATTTCAACTGGGGTTCACCATATACATCGGCGTAATCTCAATGTTCAAATTCGTTTTTTTCTAAGGTCAATGTTTTCATCGTGATGAGTGTGTGGTTGATTTCAGCTGCACGCAGAGTCAGAAGCACACGCTTATTGAAGTCATATCAATGACAGTGTTGCGGAAAGAAGAGTTATCGCTTAAGATCACTATTTATGGTTAATGTAGTCCTGAATGTAATGCATTATGGGTAGTGTAGTTCTGAGAAATGTGCTCGTTGTGATGTATGCTCTAGCTGTGCTGTGTAGTTCAGAAAACGGAGAAAGAACGTTTATATTCTGCATTTTTTAATTTCAGTTCATTCAAGTTCAGTCCACCCAGGAGTTTCGTGCACTGTAACCCTGATAACTTTTATCTACACCAGAGATTAAATGTCATGCATCGGCTATGGCTAACTTTGTCCGTCTCTAGTGTTGTCAAAAGACCAGGTACTCCGGTACCAAGTCGGTACCGAGTACCCGGTCAACCCGGTTCTTGATGCGCTATCCGAAAGGTGCGCAGATGCGCCCTCTTCATAAAAGCACTGAGACATGGCGACCTCAAAAGGAGAAAACACATCGAACTAACAAAACACTTTAAAGACCGACACCCGGATCAAATGAAAGAGTTCAAGCAAGTAAGTTTAATTTTCTTCTGTTATGAATATTATTCCATATTTTAATTTGAATGTCGGATTAAAATGAACATCGCCGTTATTAGAGTATAGTTAATTGTTAGCATAAGCGTGGCTAACGCTAATATAATGAGCATTAGGATGAAGTTTCTTTATTAACTATTTAATGCTCCTATAACTTTTATTAGGGTAAAAAAAAAACAGGAGGACGTGATGATATTTACTATTTTTACACACCAGAGGCTTTTAAATGAATTGTGAATCTAAAATATGCGTGTTTGAGAATGTACAAATGGTTAACATTGTTTTTGTCATATCAGTCTATCAGAAAAGCAGTTCTGGGCGTTTTTTATTTTTTCATTTTTAGCTAACTTAGTTAGTTGTTATTCTTGGCTGAATAACTCTAAAAGGTTTTAAAAGCACTTTTAAATTAAATATGTACACAGTTTGGATTAAATAAAAGTATTGTCAAATTTTATCTCCTGTATAGACTTTACAATGAGAGACCATTCATTAACATGACTTCATGTTATTATCTAACATCAACTTACAGTGAGTGAACAATATATTTTTACAACATTAATGAATGTTTTTGAATGTTATATAATACAAACATTTGATCATTCATGTTTGCTCATTGTGCATTAAATAATTTGAACAGATTGAACTTTTGATTTTATGTATTAGTACATTCTGAAATTAACAATAAGAGGAATAATTGCTATATAACTATTGTTTATTGATAGGTCATGTTATCTAACAAATGGAATCGTATTGTAAAGTGTTTTTAATAGGCTACTTCAGTTTCTATCTATTTGATATACACTTGAATTAAAATATATGGAATTTTATCTAAATTTATTATAAAAGCTAAGATTTGTTATTTACTGAA